TAAGTCACTTATTGCTTTACTGAACTTGTATAAAATGATTATTAAATTTGTTCATGCTGAAATCTGCAGAAAAGTACTCTTTGTCTGAAGTTAACTACTGTATATTAAATTATATAAATATAAAAAGCATACAGAAGCATTTTTTGCCGTCTATAATTTAGAATGCCTGGAATTTTGAGTTTTAATAGACTAATAAATCACGTGCGTGCACTCTGTGTGTGATTTAGTGATATAGCCCACTTGGTAATGTCAGATCGCACATCATTACAACAACAGTTACCACATTATCGCAGATGATGCTGTATCGCACAGCACACCCTAGCCTCGACTTGAGTGGAAAATGAATCATCTGCGGTTTTGCGCGCGCTTGTTTGCACGTGAGCAAACATGTTGTTTTAGGAGTCTAACTTGCAAACGCCAGACCACTGATTCATCAAACCTGCTTTCCTGCAGTCCATGTTCTTCTGACTTCTGACTATTTTATAGTAAGTAACGAATATGCTTCGTGGAAATGTATCAGAGTAAAAGTATACATTTTAATTGGGAAATGTAGTGGAGTAAAAGTTGGCTGAAATATAAAAACTCAAGTAAAGTACAGATACTCCCAAAAATACTTAAGTACTGTAATGAAGTATTATTCATTTGTTACAATACACCACTGGTCTCATCTTGTGTATATGCGACAGACTCATGAAAGTCATCTTAAGCTAGGGAATCTGCTGAAAGCTTAGTGTCTGACTCTCCCGTGTCCCAGCTCTCATTCCTGAAGTCCCAGGACAGGAAGCAGAACGAGCTGCAGGCCTCACAGAGTGTCTGGGTTTGGGCAGATGGGAGCTGGAGTTTGGCTGAGGGCCAGAGAGTTCCGCTGAGCAGAGAGAAACGAAACAGCATATGAGCTCAGGCATGGATATTCCACTCAGCAAGGTGACCATCAGCTTTTGTCATGTTAGTTTTAATAATAATAATGTTAATTTATAATATTTACCAAGAGATTTGGATTTTGGTAATCTCATAGACTTACATTTGAAGGATGGATTTGAGCCATATCTAGAGACTAGTATATCAAAGAGAATAGGGACTTTTTATTATTATTATTTGAACCTAGCACTCCATAGCAACCACCCTAGCAACCCTCAATGCTCCAGCATAATAAGGAACAGAACTGTTTTCAAGATTGATAATAAAAATATTTTCTAATATTCTAATATGCTGACCAGAAAATCAGCATATTCGAATGATTTCTAAAGGATCGTGTGACACTGATGACTGGAGTAATGGCTGCTGAAAATTCAGCTTTGCCATCACGGGAATAAATGACATTTTAAAATATATATAAGTAGGACACATTTATTTCACAATATTACTGTTTTTACTGTATATTTGACCAAATAAATGAAGGCTTGGTGATCATGAGAGACTTCTTTCAAAAACATTAATAAAATCTTACTGACCCCAAGTTTTTAATTCAGTATTTCTAAACAACCAGTTTACATTCATTTATTAAAATATGGTCGTTATGATGCAATCTAGTGCAAATGTGTCATCATTACAGATTCTGCCATTCCGAAGTCGGCGGCATTACATGTTTTAAAGTTCCCATAAACTCTTCTCTGAAAGTCTGAGGAAAATAAAAATTTCATGGTGAGGTGCTGTGCCATTTAAAAGATTTATAAGGATGTGTTTCGGATAAGAGCCTGGATCTACCCGTCTCATTGCTACGCCTGGAGGTATTTTTAGCAGTTAAGTCTTTTTCCTGTTTGGATTTCTGAAGCTCACTAATGTAGAGAAGACTGCAGCAAATATTCCAAGATTTAGATCAGGCAAAATGTGCTATGCATGCAGAGTGGGAAAGTGTTGTTTCGACATGGAGAGCACAGCATTACTTCATTAAGCGCTAATATTGTTTTGTGAGTTTGTTCGTCAGTCTGAAAGGTAACAAAATAAACTTTTGCTTCATGCAGCATGTGCGTTTTTTTTGTTCTCAGTGTGTATATATAAGCTTAATGCGTCTGCGTGTTGCTTCATATTCCTCTTGTTGTGTCTAACGTGGCCTCCTGTGTCAGCTGCACACTGGTTTGATGTGAAGTTTAAGCCTCTCATGACGCCAAGTAGAGTCTAGTTACACTAGTGGGAATACCTGCTATTGTCCGCTAAATCCTTTCTAATTCCCAGGAATTCTGCTTTCATTTCACTCAACCTCCTTGGTCTTGCCGCACTTCTATAAGTTACTATAATTGAAATTAAAGAGACAGACTCTCCACCATGATGCCTTTTAAAGCTATTGATAGTTTATATGCATCACATGCATTTAAAGAGTTGGACTGTTTTTGACACTGTGGTTAGTTGTGCTTGCCATCCATATTTAAAGGTTACTAGGTGATGCCAAGTCAGACAAAGAGTCTGTCATTCTTCCAGACGTTTTTGACAACTGCTATCAGGCATTTCTCACTGAGCTAGTGGGTTTTTTCATATATTGCACAGAAACACAATTACGCCCTAATGTTACACACTTTATTAGAGGAGAGACACATTGAATATGAATTGTTCCATGGTTGTCATAGTAACAGGAAGTTCTAAAACCTCAGCAGCAAATGTTGTTTTCAGTCTTTGAGCAGCTGGGGGGTTGTTACTGGCAAGGCATTGTGGGTAATTACCACATAAACCTTGCATTTCTTGGGTCAAAATCAAGAGGATTTTAAGATGCGTTATAGACAGTGTTTAAAATGTGTTGATATAATGACTGTAGTAGACTGTGTAGTCATATTTATTTTAATAGGACAGTCAAGACTGAATAGACAAGAGGATCTAATATAACACTGGAGAAAGCAATCTATTAGCATTGACATTCATCAATGCCAATTGTTTTCTTCATCCAAAAAGCAATCAGGCACTGGTAAAACATCTAAACTATAATATAATAAAATGTAGTAAGTTTTGTTAGAATATGGCTAAAGGCTATATTCTAGGCGTGTTGTACGTTCATGTTGGTGTAAACAGGCGCTGTTAGAAAAAAAAGATGCTTTTTGGTGTAGTTATGGTATTAATCAACAATGACTCACACACCTATGCTAACCAGTTTAATGTTGATCACCTTGACTGGACCCCCCAAATTTGTATGCACATAAGCACTGCCATTCAACCATGGACCGTGCCAGGGTGCGATATCAATGCTTGTAGTAAACTCAGCATGCAATTTTAAAATTTGTGCTAAAGCTTTTTTACTTACAGTCACAAATAGCCTCCCTTGTGTTATGTGAAAAAAATACAACCACCGTTGTTATTTTTAAATATAAGTAAAATGATTCAAATAATTTTTAAATTAAGCTGAATAAAATATAAATATTAGATGGGGAAAAAAACTAGAAATGTTGCCTTGTGAACTAACTGAAATGAAATAAGTTTAAAGGCCTGTTTACACCAAGAATGCCAACTATAAATAGAACTATATTAGCATCCACATCAACGCACGATAACATGCTATTTATTATAAGCGTGCTGCAGTGATCTGTGATCATCTTGCTTTAAATAATCAAGCTTGTTAAAGTCAGACAGATTGGCTGTCAAGGTGTTTTTTTATTTTTTTTTATCGATCGTCAGATCACTTTGTGACTCCAACTATATAGTTCCTCTGTGTCATTATTGTTATAGGTGTGGTGTGGACTTCCCTATTCTCACATGAATTAGACTGGTCATTAAAATGTTATAGTTATAGTTATTATCCTTGGTGTGAACAACCCTTAAGTTAAAGTACTAAAATTACTAAAACTGAAATAAAAATAAATTAAAGCTGTATAGAAAGTAAAAAAACAAAAACAACAAAACGACAAAAGCAAATAACAAAATGTAAACAAAAACTAAAATGAATACTGAAAATAGTATAGAAATAATACTAAAATAACACTGAATCAGACCATCAGACATAAGAGAGCCAAGCCACAGTCATCTCAGCAGGAATCAGGTCAGTCACACAGTCTAAAGTGTAAAGTCTCCTTCGCTATGTGGATCATTATTCAGAGCGGCTGGAGGGAGTGCAGAAGGTCGGTGTGGAGACAGAGGGAGGCTGGGATTAGGTATTTCACATAGGTGTGCTGTGTATTAGAGAAAGAGGTTTACCCTAAATTTCAACTTTCTCTGACTGTTGGAATGAAGGATGGGAAGGGCAAACCCAGCAATCTTCTGTTCACCTGGCTCTGTTTGGAGGCTACTGTGGTGTGTATGAGGGACCTATTAGTGTGTGTTTCTGTAAATAAGCTGTTCACGTGTGTGCTTGATGTCCTGGTTGTTTGTTAAGGGGCCCTGCACTGTAGATGAGGTGGTCTGCTGCAACAGGAACGCTAATGCTTCCTCTGAGGCCAGTGAGGAACAGCATGATTAGCTCTCCAGCCCCCCGGGGGGAGCTGCTGCACTCTCCTTGCTCTAATTCACTTTGACGTCAACAGGAAGGCAGATTAGGTCTTGTGAGGGGAAGAGGGAGGTGGACTGCGGACTGTATGGATGTGTGTGGAGGGCTCTGGGGCTTTGAGAGGCTGCAGGAGGGATTACAGAACCCTAAAATGTTTTCTTTGTAGTTTGGAAGAAACCCGAGAAAGGTTTCACACAAACTTATACTGACGGATTGAAGTGTGGGGGGCTGGCCGCCATTGCTGCCATTCCCGCCCTTGTCTTTATCTTTGTTTGCCCACCTATCCAAGCTCACACACACACACACATGCACATACAGCCTCTATTAAGCCAGAACAGCAGGACACACACCTATACTTTCACGCAAAATATCAAATTGCTTTTCAAATTGTGGGGTCAGAAGGCCCACTGGTATCACGCAGCGTCAATAAAATGATCCCCATTCTCAAAATGCAGTGCTGCTTAAACCTAAATCAACATCTCTGGCCATTTTACAAGTTTCGCTGTAATGCCGCTGGAGTAATGATCTCAGGTTTGCTATTAGTGCACAGACCATTAGATGTAACTGTACTCAGAAGGTTTCTCTTCTTGTGTTGTAGACTGTCTGGAAGGCAGTGTGCTGTCAGACTGACTCCAACATCAGATGCTCCGATGCTGAGCACAAGCAAACTGTAAGTTCCTAAATCAACACTTAAATATTCATTCAAAAACACACATGCTCTGTTCTAAAAGCTAGTGAGCTGCCTATGTAGGCAGTATTTTAAGTCATCATAGACATGCCCCTGATGCAAAGGCTGTTGTATGTAGTGATCTAAGATCAAGGTTGGGTAAAATTCTCTTAAAAATTCTCTATCTAAAAATTATATCTACCTATCTATCTGTCTGTCTGTCTGTCTATCTTCTATCTAAAAAATAGCAACTGGTTTGTTTTGACCCAGCCCTCTGGGTAGATCTATCTATCTATCTATCTATCTATCTATCTATCTATCTATCTATCTATCTATCTATCTATCTATCTATCTATCTATTTTTCATTCTTTCATTCTATCTATCATTCTGTCTATTTATCATTCCGTTCTATCATTCTGTCATTCTATCTAGCATTCAATTGTTCTGTTGTTTGTTTTAGATATAATTTTATATCATTCTATAGACCAATCTTTTCTCATTCTATTGTTCATTTGTTCTAATGTTCTATCAATTGTTTGTTCTATCATTATTTTGTTTATTATATTATTTTTTTCAATTGTTTGTTCTGTCATTTGTTTTACAGTTCGTTCTCCATTCATTGTCATTCGACTCCAATATCAGATGCTCCGATGCTGAGAACAAGCAAACTGTAAGTTCCTAAATCAACACTTCCATGTTCATTCAAAGACACACATGCTGAGTCCATTCTATCATCCGTTCATTCTATTATTCGATCAGATATTCTAGATAGATAGATATTCATTAATTCATTCATTCATAATTCTACTAATTTAATACTGGAAAGTACAAAGTACTTAAATCTAAATACAAAATTACTATTTTACTCAAATGTTTGTCTGAGCTGTTAATATTTTATGCTTAGAGTTATTATTAGAGTTAGCTTAGCAACATGCTAACAACAGACTCCATAGAAATTAATTGTAAACCATGCACTTAATGTGAAAAATGCTATTTTGTGCAATGGCACTTGTTTAGAGTTGCTGCCTCATTTTGTATTCTCAGTTCACCATTTAGAAGGTTCAGTTTCATTTTAGGATGCTAGCAGCTGCCTATGTAGGCAGCAGGCACTGGACAACTCACTAGGTGTTGGAACAGAGCCATGCTTGTCACCAGATTCTTTTCTTCCATTTTAATGTGAGAAAAGTAAACCAAGGTTGTTTCCACATTTTGAAGATGGCTGATAAATATGCAGTGTCACCTATCTAGCTGCCTAGAATATACAAACCTGTGATTTCTCTGCAGTGATATTGCTCTTCTGGAGTCGTTGAGTTATTCCTTGCTGGTTTAGTCTGAATTGGGCCTTTACAGATGAATTTTGAAATGAATTTTCCAACACTTACTGTTCGCCTGCAATCACCCCGGCTGTGTTGTTTAAGAGTTTGTTTCCTCACTTTAATAGCACTTTTTGTTATGTCCTTATAGAGTGTGAATTTGTTCGAAAACACAATTTGTGTCTTTAATGGTTCGTGGGCTCAGGGTGAAATTACGTTGTGCATGAGTGAGAGACAGCGAGTATGAGGGACACATTTGTATGAGCGGCAATATGTGGAAGGGTTAACACTTTGCTTTTCAGAGGGGGTAAAAGCCAGGCAAGTCTCTTTAATTGAGTGTGAAAGCAGCTGGGTATCTAGAGCTATTTTCCCCACAGCAGCATGGAAGTGATCTCAATATCCTCCTGATTCTAATCGCTCATAACCCCAAATTCCCCCTTTCTTTCTCTCCCTCTCGCACTCGGAGCCCTGCCGAGGATTGTTTTACGCTTAATTTTGTTAAACCTAATGAGATTTCCCTAATTAAATCTCCTCCTGACTGGAAAGCTCTCTCTCCTGTCGAGTGAAGTGATTGTTTGTAGATCTTTTTAGACAAATAAACATTTTTGGAGCGAAAGCACAGCTCAAGAGAAATGGAAGGAGCCTGCATCTTTTCATTTTTGCGGTAGCAGCCCTGTGCTTCACTCATCATGCTTTGCTTAATGTCTTTTCACCTTGTTTTTCACCTTCTCAAATGATCAAGACTAGTTCCTCAGGTCTCATATTACAGCTAAGATGAAGTGAATTACCTTAGTGTACTTTGTCAAGGAGTGTTGGGGAGCAACCAAATAAATGTAGCAATACTATTAACTTTGTAGTAGCATAACAGAAGCTCAGCTACCTTGAAAACTGATTCACTTTTTTATTAACAAGCCACTTTTTCCAACAAATAGGGGTAAAACAGTGCTTTTTTGTGTGTAAAGATTTCACACTCAACTAAAATGAATCTTTGAAGTCTGATTCTTTTTAATGAAATGGTTAACTTAGAAAATTCATTTAAATACAAACTAAAACACAAATGAAAGTACAATACTTTAAATGCAACCTACAAACTAAAACTAACTTTAAATAAACTGATTCACTTGGATGAGTCGTTTAAATGAGTCAGTTAAAAAAAAATCCACAGATTCATTTGACTAAATGAATCTGTATAGAGGGAGCATTGTATTATATTGTGTATAATTTTACAAAATACTATTATGTACTATTTCATTATATTAATATGCTATTTATTTATTTATGAAAGAAGTTATCCAAATTTACTAATTTGAATTATGGTTAACTTTTATGGCTAGGTTTTAATGTGGCGTCCCCAACACTGTGAAATAGTAGTGATTCTAGACAGATACACGACTGAAAGCCTCTTTTATAGAAGCAATATTGTCATTTATATAAGGTTGTATGAATATGTATGTATGTGTGAGTGTGCAAGGATCTTGTTTTGTGTAGGAAAGTGCCGCTGGGTGTGTCTGGTCCATTGAACTCTGTGAATAAAAGGCCTTGAGAGTATTCTTGACTGTGGTCATTGAGCTGGTATTGTGGATGGCCCATGGGAGACCATTGTGGGACTCGACCTTCTGTTTCCCATGCCGACTCCAGAAAGCTAGTGCCTTCACACACACATCACAGGCACACACCATTCCAACCAGACCCTATTCTTTGCCCCCTCCTGTGTACCGTTGGGCAGTCTGCCCAGTTCGTGTGAAAAGTGCCCTCTGATTTTACCCCCTCTGATCAGGTTTCTGCCACCAGTTGCCCAGTTTGATGTGAGTAAGTAGGGTGAGTAGTCAAGGGAGATGTCCTGACTTCTGGCACCAGCAGGCCACACACAACAACACCTAGATCACCGTGTGGCTGTTCATTATTCAAGGACTGACTTGACAAAGTGTCCTTTGCATGGAATGTTACCGTTGTTTATTTGATGTAGACTGAATTATGTTATTTCCAGTAAGCTCTATTTCAAACATGAAATCAAAACAAGTCATGCACAATGCATCAGAGCACAGAAAAAATGTATTGTAGTCTTAATTATTTTTTCTTTAAAATGTAATCACTTTCTCCATGTCTGCAATCAGTTTGCTGTTGAAATAGTCAAGGCTGTGGCAAAATTATACTAACTAATAATAGTATAGCTTAATGTTTTCATAATCAAAGTCTCACCTACATTATTTATGCCACATTACAGTTTCATATTGCCTTTAAATGTGTTTTGGCATCATGAAGGTACATTGAACTAAAATCATCCTGTCAGTTGACTTCAAATCATAGAAAACATTTCATTTCAGCAGATTCAAATACTAAAAATGTATTATCCGGGTTTCCATAGTCATGAAAAAAATATCATGGAATTTTAGAATTGTAATTTCGGATCCTGGAAAAGGCATTGTAATACATATAATCTAAAATTCATGAAAAAGCCATGGACATTATTAGAATGAATATATATTTTTCAAGCTATGCTTAGATATAAAATATTTAATCAGTTAGTAATTGTACTTTATTAGTAAAATACTGTGGAAAAACATGAAAAACAGTCATGGAAATGTATTGGTGAAAAGTTGTTTGAAACCTGCATTATTATTTATTATTAATGTTGTTAATTTATTATTATTATGGCAGCAGAAAGAGCATTTGCAAAACATTTAACTTCGTTACTTTATTTTATCTATTAATATTACTTTTGTGATTTATACTATTTTTCTGATAAATTGTGTACATTTGGGCTTGGGACGCTTATTGAAATGTGGTCCATTTTGATTTCATGGATATTGATATTTTTCCCGTATAGAATCAGTTTACATGGGCATTAACAGTACAGTACCTTGTGTCATTGAGCAGTTGATTAGTATGATTCCTTTTGCTCTTTCTATAACAGTCTCAACCTCATCATCATCATCATCTCCACCACCCCTGGCCTTCACCCCGAGTCTGTTCCTCATCAGCCTCGATTAGCATTATGTTGATTTAGCCTAGCAGCCCCCACCAACCCAATGGAGGCTTATTAGTTTGAATATTTTTATTTATTTATTCCCGTTTTCTTGGGGTCCCTGTCGGCATTTCCAATTACTCTCGCCGTTCGGCTGTAATTGCCTCCGTGCTAATGGCTGCCAGACAATTGTGCTAAATGAGGTGAAGGCGCGAGGCAGCGAGCTCGACTTCATTAAGAACTAATGGGATTTTATTGGGGGGACTGAAGACCCAGCTCATCAAAAAGGAGAGATGGAAGGAAAACAAAACAGATGGAGGAGAAGAGGCTGAGAGAGTTTTATAGGCGTTTTCTTCCGTGTCTGCTTGTCTTAAGTTATGTCGGACAGGAATGTGAAACCCTACTGTTTTACTGTTAGAAATACAGACACATACGCATGCTTGGATCTGCCTCTCGAACGCACAGACACACGCAAAAACATACGCGCTCTGCTAAGCAAACATCCACGTGCATGTAACCGATAGATACACATATAAACACATTAAAATTCACCATAACGTGCATGCTTGAAAAGATGAAAGAGACGGAATCACATTGAAGATTTTGTGATAATCTGTGCATGTCAAACTGATTACACAGATTTCTTTCTTAGATAACATAAATCAAGTGCCAAACGTTGTGCTTTAAAGTGTGCATCACTCCTAGCTGAAAAGAGCATTTGCTTGACAGTAATCTGAAAAAAAAATCACATTTCCCAGATTTCAGTTGTTAGTTTTTCATTGCAGCAGTTTTATGTCACGAGTAGATTGTTTAGATATGATGAAAGATGCAAAACACCATCACATCTGAATGGATGTCATATAGATGTTAAACAGCTCTTCAAATCAACGTCAGAGGAAAGATTTAATGTTCATTTAAAACTAACCCATAAAACACTTGTGTGTGTGTTTTCGTTTTAATCCTTGTTTATCTCTCTCATTTCAGTTGATTTATATCTGTGTCTGTAAGAGAGAGTCAGAAAGTCTTTTTGGAGTGCTAATACTAATAGAAACAACCTGACATAGATAGCAGTTCCTTAGTGGGATTTAACCGTCTTTTGTCATGCTGTTCTGCTTAAAACAAACGCACTGCTCTGTTAGTGTTTTCAGGATTTGGCTCTACAGCATGTTCTAACTTTTTGAACACTAGCTGTGCACGCTTACTTTTGTTGTTTACGGTGCTTCATTTTTTATTGTCGTGTTTTTCATAAGGTAGTCTGACAATTTTATTTAAAAAATACACCTTTATTTAATTAAAATATGATTATAAACTCTTACTTTTGCAATTACTTCTATTTTATTTGTATGCACAATATCATTTATGTAAGTGGAACATTTTTTATTTGTTACCATA